TAACTCCTTACCACGGAATGGGTGCCTGCAGATTCCTCCACTACCTGTCGTAGCCCCTCTGGCTTCAACTACTTATGGTTCTTCCAATAGAGAGCCACCCTCACTTCCCAACGGCGCCCTCGACTCGCATACAGCCCACCTGGGTGCCCTGACTGACGGCGGAGCTCGCGCGAGGAAAGTGGGGTTTCCGTTGGGCCAGGCTCTAGGCGAGCCAGAAAACCAAAGTCAAGGGGGCTGACCCCAGCCGCTCACCTGGTGGAAAAGCTCGAAAAGTAGTTCCTCTGTCACTTTAGTTTCAAGGTTGCCGACAAAGAGAGTGCGGTCCGCCTCCGCTGCCGCCGCCCCCATCTCAACGACGCCCCCTCCCCACCCAGGCCGAAGGCTCGGGTCCGACGCACCCACTGCGCACTCTCGGAAACCTTACGTCCTTGCTGACGAGCGTCATGACGTAAACGTCCATCACGTTCGCTCGCGACCGGCGTCGGCGTACGCGGCGGGTGACTGCGCATGCTCGAGAGGAGAGGCCTCCTTAAATCGGCTGCTTGGGGCGTTGCGTTGTTGGTTATGGCTTCCGGGAAAGTTAGTGCCCTCGTCCGAGAAGGGCCAGACTGATCTGCGGCTCTGCGAAAGGACTGCCTTGACCGACCCACATACCGTAAACACTGCAGGCAGTGTTTGAAAATGGCACGGAACTATGTGTCCCTGGCCGCCGGCGATCAAGGGAACAGGGTGGCTTACCCCTCGTCCCACAGCGATCTCAGAGCGTTGGCGATGTTCTCTGGAGACTGTTCCCTCGCTGCCAGGGCTGGAGCGATTCGCCCTGCACCTCGCCAGACAGCTCGACCTAGCATTCGGACCCAGAGCCGTCGAATGCCTCGCTGCGGCCTGAGCCCGACCCGCCTTACAAAGGGAAGGGAACCGGAGACCCGCAGCCGAAGCCGCCAAGCCAGATTCTCACCTTACCCAGTCCGTGGGGTCAAACTCGATCTCCGAAGAAGTGTGCTGCAACAGCGTCTGGCATTTGGAAATGTTACAGCTTGAACTTCAGTTTAAAAGCAAATGCCTCCCCTCAATTAGCTTGCAAACAAGTCCTCTTTTAAAATCCTTTCTTGGTGTAACCGCATTTTTATTTTCAGAGAGATGCGCTTTTGTTTAATAGACAATTGCGTATGTAGGGGTTTGTTAATGTTATCACACGTTTTACTATGGTTAACTCAGGAAGAAGACAGACAGGATTTTCTTCTTTGGTAATTACAAACCCGAGCAACAATATTCACTTTTTGTTTACACAATTACTGTTTGGAGTCAGAATTCTCCGATTTCCACGACCTTACCCAGCTAGTTCCCCTACTTTGAGAATATAATTCGAGCCTCCTTAACTGGCATATTCCCAGACTCTTTAACTTGTGTTGGTGAAAAATAATCGTTTTTATTAGACTAGCTTATCCTTTCATCTCTTCCCCAGCACTTAACATCTTCAATATTCTCCTTCTTGTTGTTGCTGTTGTTTATTTTTGGTACCAGGATTGAATCCAGGGGGAGCTTAACCACCTAGCCACATCTCTTGCCCTTTTTATATTTTATTTTGAGACCCAGACCCTAACCCTACCCCTAAATTGCTGAGACGGGCACCTATCCTGCTTCAGTTTACTGGGCCGCTGGGATTATAGGCGCGCAACTCTGCATACTGAAAGACAAAACGCAACACCTAAACCTTCAGTGTTATTAAGGTGATTTGCATTTCCTTTGCCAAAGACTCCAAATTAATTTTCCTATTTTTCATTTTGTTTCCTTTCAATCCAAGCTCCTTAATCTGAATCTGCTGTTGCAAAACTGACTGCTGGAACATCAGTCCTACGGATTCCTCTCATTTGTTATCTATTCATATTTCTTAGAAATTTCTTACCTTTACTCCTTCAAGCATACAAAAATATTTGGGAATCTTCTCTGTGATAAACACTGTGGATGATCTTTATGCAATCCTGACATCTAGATCAAGGAGTATATTTTTAATGGAGAGGCTAATAAATCAATGCATAATCACTACATTGGACTGTTCATTAGGTTCACTAATAAAAATAAGTATTGGTTGCAATGGCTTCCCATACTATTGCACTATTCTTCATCTGGCTGATTGTTCTTTGCTGATATCTTGTTCTCTTAATCATGTATTCCCCAAGGTTTAAAGAATGTTATTGGGAGAATGTGTGTTAGTTGTTATTTGGATTTTATATTTTGTTCTGTTTTGGTACTGAGGGTTGAACCTATGAGAGCTTTACCACTGAGCTATATCCCCAACCCTTCTTATTTTTTATTTTGAGATGGTGTTGCTAAGTTGCTGAGGCTGGCTTTGAACTTGCCATCCTCCTGAGTCACTTGAATTACAGGTGTTCACCACCATACCTGGTGAGAAAGTGAGCTTTTATATGCCATTTTTAATGCAATTAAAAAATTTTCTCAGTATATTCTTGTTTGTGTAGACTTCCTTCAAATAATTATGTTCAAATAAAATTGTCACACTACACAGTAATTTGTTAGAATCCCATCTTAAGATATAACTGGAGAACTTCCATAAGAATAATTAATATAATTAATAAAGGGAGAAATCTAGAAACCAGGTCATAGGAAGGATGATTGACTACCTTTTGTTGAGTGTAACATGCAAGGCAATATGCCAGGAGCTATTAGTCTTTTTTTTTTTTTAAGAATTTGAGGATTTAGTCTGTGTTTAACTGCTGTCTGCATTAGGCACTTAGAATCAAGAAGTGAACAAGATAGACAAAGTCTCTGCTCTGTTGTTATGTATGTTATTTGATTTGCAGGGCAACCTATGAAAAGGATATTATACTTGTAATTTTTGTTGCTGAGAGACAGCCCAAAAGAAATGAAGTGAATTTTTCTGAGATCATATAGCTAGTAAATGATAGTCTTTCAGCATTCAACTAAAATTCCTTGTCTGAAACATGCAAGGAAATAATCCAAATGACCATTTTCTCAGTTTTTCCAAAGATAACATATAGCACTATTCCAGATAATCTAAAAAGAACTTACTTTACAGCGCACAGTGGTTGCCTTAGGCTGAGCATTATGAAAGTTACAGTTGAGAGAAGAATCCCAATTATGTACCATATGCTGGAGAAGAATAGTAAAACTGAAAGCAAAGAGGACTTTCCTAAAACTTAGAATGTCTAATAATGGAAAATACCATCTCAAAAGGTAAAAAATTAACTGCCAGAAAGTTCAAATGGAGGCTAAATCTTGTCGGGATTTTATCAAAGCTTTCCTCATAGTGAAAACCAGGACTAGGTGACTTCTTTGGTCCCCATTTAATTTTATACTTTTAAATTTTATACTTTTAAAAAACTGTTAAAATTGGAAATGGGAAACTGAGATATAAAAGAGGGCTGGGGATGTGGCTCAGTTAGTAGAGACATAAGAGAAAAATTATATATGGTACATAAATTGGTTCTGTCAGCAAATCATGACAGTGCTATTAATTAGAGGCAACAGGTAGATCAGTTGGCTCATATAATCATTGCCTAGGACATCATTTGGCATTAAATTGTCTTTGGAATATATTCCTTAAATCAGAGAAGGGGCTAATGCTTGTAAATAAAAGAACAAAATCTGGCTTAAGAGTACCCCAAAGAGCACAAGAGCAAAGGGGGACCAACAGGGAGTGACTTCATTTCTGTTTGTTCTGGCTTGTGGTCATCAGCAATAGGGCTTTGGTTGAGGAAATGTGGCTGTGCCAGAAAAGGATAAAACCATGTGGTTTGTTGTATTTTGTTTACTTGGCAAGAGGAGAACCTTGTTCACATAAATGCTCCATTATTTTAAGTCTGAATCAATGGCTGTCTAAATTCTTGTTCTTCTAATCACAAAGGCTTTATTGTGAAAACAGGAACCACTATAAGCCTCTTTCAGTGAAACTGCCCAAAGCAAAAACAAAGTTTTATAAGAGCAGACCATATTAAAAATATATCCACATATTAGTGAACAAAATGAATTTTCATTTAATGTCAGTGATATATGTTATGACATATTGTCATTCTAAAATAAATGAATTAAAAAATTAAAAAGCCATTGT